AACGTGGACAAATATTTTTCTAAAAAAAGAAAAATATTTTAATTTTTCTCTGCTTCTAAGCAAGGAAACAAAATAAACAAAAACCGAATGAATTGACGTAGATTAATGTGGTATAAAAATTAGACCTTATTATTCAAAAACTTTTTGCCCGCTATTAAACTAAATAGTAAAAATTATGAATAATATCAATAATGAAAATAATAAACAATAAATATTTTCCCCATTAACTACTTACTTTTGTGTAAACGCGTTTCATAAGTGGATGCGAAGTTTTTTTTTCAAATTTGTGTATTTAGTTTTTAAAGCTATGATCAAAAAACGCAACATGTACAAAAAAAAGAGTATATATATATATGGGTCATTCTCACGAAAACTGCCATTTTTCAGTTCATAAAATCCCAAAAAAGTAAAGTGAATAAAAAGCTCTGAAACTTTTTATATTAATAGAAATATGTAATGGCATTATAAAGAAAGTATATATCCTATAAATTATACTTAATATTTAAATTAATTAATTTTTTAAATAATTAATTTATAATTAATTAATTTATAATAATTAATAATTAATTAATTAATTTAATAAATAAATTAATTAATTTAATAAATTAATTTATTAATTTTTTAATTTATTTTTCAAATTAATTAATAAGTAAATTAATTATTTTCACTATTTAAAAAGTGAGGGAATGACACTAATAGTGAGGGAATGATATTTTATTTTAATACATGTTTTTATCTAAGTTACATCTACCTAAAGTTTGAAAATGATAACATACTAAGTATATCTAATATTTATTATAATTTAGTCTTATATATTTAATAGTTTTTACAGGTTTGGGAAATAAAATTGGCTGGCACGATTGAACAAAAAAAAATTTGATAATATACTCATCTTGAATCATTCCCTCACTTCAGCGTCATTCCCTCACTTTATACACTAGTGAGGGAATGACGAATTCAATAAAATTTAAAAATAACAGTTAGGCCTAATTAATTTCTGAAGTCAATCACATACAATTATATTCATACAAGAAAGCAACATATAATTATCCACTTTCTCGATGAAGTTGTATTTTATTTTACTCTAAAAAATGACATGAGGGAATGACAAATGTAAAAAATTTTACCTGGTTTGATTCATTCAAATTTATTCCACAGCAAAGCTTCTTTAAGTTGAAGATGGAAACATACTGCAATTTTGTTCTATGATGCCAGTTGTTAACTTCTGAAGTTTTTATTAAAATATTTTTATTCTAAGAAGATTGCAGGTGATAAGAACATTGTTGTGAGGGAATGACGCGAAACACTGGGGACAAAGTTTAAAATACTGCTGTGTTAATATTTTTATCAGAAATTAAATTTAAAATTGATTTTCTGAATTCTATATTTCAATAGTCTGAAATAAAAAACACGAATTTGTAAATTTTTTTATTTCAGAAACAATTATTTCTTTTTTTAAATCAACAGTGGGGACAAGTGAAGGAATGACATATTGGTATATTTTAATTACCTAAAATAAATAAAAAATAAAAATTGATAATTTTATTTTTATTCTTCTGTTAGCCTGCACTCTGAAGGACACTTTCCCTGAAATTTTTTTTTTCGTAAGTTGTAAAACAAACATAAAATATACTAGGGACATGAAAATGACTGTTTTTGTGAGAATGACCCCTATATTCTTTTTTTGTACACGTTATTCGCGTTTTTCATATAATGCTAAAAAATGGGAAAATGCCAATTTTTGAAGTCTTCAAATTTAAAATTCGACAAGCAGAATTTACAAATATAATAATTTAGAATGATTCCTTAGAAAATGCTATAGGAATAAACCAATAGCACCAATGATATGCCTAAGAACACATTTGCATGCTCTAAGCTGATATGATATATTTGCTAAGTATATTAGGCAGATATAAAACACTCTTTCTTTTATGAAGAGCATCTTTAATATTAACCAAAACACATAATGCTTTGCATAAGAATTATTATTCTGATGAAAAAGATAAACACCGAAGAGCAGCATTTAAATTCAAAGCAAAATAATCTTTTATGAACAATGACTTTAGATATTTGAACAGTATGAAAGGATTACTTGAAAGTTATTGAAAAAAATCAATTTCCTGTTAACCATAATCATTGTATACTGCAACTTTGGCACAGTTTTCGAAAGAAAAGAGAATTAAAAATAGTTTTTATTTCTAAAGTAAAAAATGTCAAGTTACCTAATTTGCGCAGATATTTCGAAGTTAATTTTTCTGCGTATCATATCATGCTGTAAATCGATAATTTATGAGAGTTTAATTACCTAACTGTGGGATATTTTAGTGGTTTTTATCTCATTTGAAGCAAATGTATCTGCTACAATTGTATTTAAAGTAAATTTATTTTTACAAGGTTTTATGAAAATGTAGTTTTTCTGATTCCATAAGTCTTTAGACCTTAAAATTTGGTTTTAAGGTTTTAATACAAGTCTAACATGTGTTGAATAGTTGTTCAAATGAAAAAAAAGTCCCGATTTCTGCTCAAGATTTGAATTTTGTTTTCCCTTGTACTATAAAATCTTTGCTAAGAAAGGTGTTGAGCAACTGATATTTCAGGGTTATTAAAACGGGAGTGCTACATGAAAGAGCAATGCATTTTCATTGCTGAGCATTCTTCTGTGCTTTCCTGGTCGAGTAATTTTTAAGTTTTATTGATCAGAATCAATCAGTCTTCCACATCATGCAATTTAACGCTGTTGGATTTTTTTTGAAGTATCCCGAGTTATTGCAACAACCCTAGGGGTAACATAAAAAATGAAAGTTAGTGCCGTATTAACAAAATTCCTCCATATTTGAGCAAGTGTTACCGCAGAACCTTTTCTTTACTTCCTTAACTTTTATTTCAGCTAACTCATAACTGACCCAATCCTTGAAGGTGGAAATTCTGCGCAATATGCACGATATTCAGTCGAATTTTGGGGGAATTGCTATTAAAAATTTTGGCAAAATAGTGCGTAAGTGCTTGCAAAACCGCAATAACATTTGTCTGATATGTTATTGCGTGAATATACTAAATACTAAGCACTTAATTAAATAATAAAACAAAGTCATAATTTTTAGTTAAAACCTGCGTTTACTATCGAAATTATTTTCCACTTGAAGTGCATCCTGTACAAATGGGTGGTTCAACTCCGTTTCGTAGGAAAAAATATTTACTCTTTTTAGCAAAATACATATATAATTTTACCTTTTATAGGGCCATTTTTAATTACAATCTTGCGTTTACTATCGAAATTACTTTTCGCTTGAACATCAGTGCATCCTGTACAAATGTGTGGTTCAGCTCCGCTTCTCCGAAAAAATATTTACTCTTTTCAGCAAAATACAGATATAATTTAACAGATATAATTTAACCCTTTATAGGGCAATTTTTTTCAATGAAGGCTATGTCAAAATATTTTCGGGATTGATATCGATTCGCAAAAAGAAATTCATTTTGAGCGATGCAAAAATTAATTTTGTTTTTAAGAATATTTTTTCTTTAAGGGGGGGGGGTGGAGGTGAAGGTAGATGGGTATTTCAAAATTTAATCTACTGTAAATAATAGGCCAGAATATTTAATCAGCGTTTAAAAATATTCGCATTTATACATTCTGTGTTCATAACTACAAATAAATTCGATGAGAAATGATCTAATTTATTAACGCTTAACACACAATCAAAAATACCTCCCCAATAATGGCACCGCTTCTGGACCTAATTTGGCATTCAAAAATTTATGAATTTGGAGGGAAGTATACTTCCCACCACCTTAAATAAGATTAAGGTATGAGAAAAGTAAAATATTTCAAATTCATCTTAGTGACAGCATTCTAAAGTATAGTGCTAATCTTTCAGCACTCAACCTAGTGGCGCACAATCTGCGAAGTGGATAAAAATCTTGTGGTCCTTAAAAGTTTCTGTGGATATTAACTCTTTCGTTATTTTGTTCACATACGATACTGTCTTGAGATGTTTTATTATTTCTAGATTTTGTCTTGCGATCTTATGCTCGTAGCATATCACGGCTCAAATATAATTTGTACCACGAGAGTTTGACTGAATGTTGGTGTGTAGTGTTTCATAATAGAAACTGAATGATTTTTGTGAATATCTTTTTAGTTTTTCTTATAGAAATTTAAACATAATTTCAGTTTTTATTGCAGGCATTCACAATGTCGAAAAAGGTATGCACCCGTGTTTACGTTAGTTAGATCTGTGAAATTTACCATTAAAAAGGGTACATGGGAGTATGAGTTGCATTTTATTACAATAATGGCATTTAAATTGCATAATTTAGTTGCATGTAAGTTGCATATATTTTATGGTATTGTGGCGCCAGGCATGATGCGTAGTTGCCAAAGGAATCTGCTGGATTACACACACAGGATCGGAAATTTTGTACCTTTCTTCAGTATTTAGGAGGCTTCGAGCATTGTTCTGAGCACACTCACACTTAACTTTTACTTTTCTGTCTTTATCTTATTGTTATGTTTCAGTTGGTAATAAATTGTTGTTTGATTTTGTCATAGTTGTCCTCAACTTAATGTGAGAGGGTTCCTCCCCCTCATTTGGTGACCCTTGTGTTTATTGCATATATAATTGCATATATATGTTTATGGTACCTAAGTTGCATAAAAATGAATACGTTGCATTTTATTAAAACATACAGTTATGACATTGTTAAGCTTTTTTATGTACTATAAACATTAGAAATAAAATGTAAAATACTAAAAAAAATTTTTTGATTAGTTTTTGTAGTAAACTGTTAAGTATTAAAATTTTGCTGAAAATATTTACTTTAGCAGAAATATATAAAAATTGTTTTAAAAGTAGGGTTTCAATAATTTATGAAAATACGTATGTTCTAATGATTAAATTATTCTTATTAATACTTTAAAATTGAAGGAAACTGAATTTCGGTGCATCAAAAATTACATTTTTTGATATTTGCATATTTTTCAAAATATATCGAGTTTATAAAAAGGAGGAAATTTTATTTTCTAAGAGGCTAAGAATTATAGCTGCTCTTTGAAATAATATTGCTGCTCTTCTTTTCATTTGTTTCATTTACATTTACAATTGTACATATAACAATACTATGAAAACAATAAAAGCAATGTACAACACTTCACAAATAAGACATTAAATGTATTCTCCTTTACAGTTTCTATTCTCATGGTGATAGCATATAGTCAAAATACATCCACAGGTCGATATAATGCGGTATATCCACAGCATCTGGCTCGAAGATGATCTACAAATACCAAAGCTTCTGTAACATGTTCAACCAGAGCAGAACATTCGCACATGAGCACATATGTTATTCCATTATCAGGGAAGAGCTTTTTATGAAAAGTTAATCTTCGTAATCCTAAATGTTTTGGCAAGCATTTGTAAACTTGGCGAGCACCTGTCCAAGTCAGCCAGTTTCTTTCGAGTTTCTCTCTGTCTTCACCAGGAAAAACTCGAAATGCTGAAATAATGTAGCCAGTTCTGTCATCTATGGGCTGTTTTGCTAAACAGTCTAGAGAAGGTTTTACAATGCTAGCCACTTCTTCATATCCAGCTAGAAAATAAAATAAAAATTAAGCACATACAATAATAATACAGAACATTTATAATCTTTTTATGCGATATATAATCTTTTTGATTTATATAGAGGCGTACAAAAGGCCACAATATTGTTATTTTAATATTATTGCAACAGAAAATACGATAAAAAGTATTTGTTTCTCAATAAGAGGCAGTTTTTATTTGCATATTTTAAAATATTTATGCATCTTCTAAAAGTTGAATGTATAAATGGCCGAAAACTGAAAGAAGTTATTAATGTATGCTGGCCGGAGGCTTTAGCATGCCACTGTATATATGCTAAATTTAGACTAAATTTATTTTGAATAATTATTTATATGCAAATTTCGACATTATTCATTGTAGAAATTTTGAATAATTGATCACTAACTCCATTAGTCTTGACTAATTTTTCTGAGTAAATTTTTGAACAACAGGAGTAAATACATAATATATCTTTTTCATTCAAACTGGAACAACGATTACAGTTGCAATTTTATTACAGATAATAATTACATGGTAATCAATTACATAATCAATTAATTTTAATCTATATTATAAGTAATCACGATAATTCTCATTTATTTTCCACGATAACTCAAATTAATCTCCGAATGCATTATGGTTTCTAAAACCTATTCTTTAAAATGTACAATAATTTTGTAGAGTATGATACATAGTAAAAAGTGTAACGTATTTGCAATGTTATCTACTTGCTATTAAAGAAACAATGACGAAGTAGACTTACGGTTAAAATGTTTATGATTGCATATAAAACGCTAAAATTAAAACTCCGTATTAAAATGTACCAAAAGTGTACTGAGATATTATAAAATAATAATTTTAAAATTGTTTCTTAAGGTCTATCTGCGCTACGAATTTTTTTAAAGTTATTTAGTAGTTCAACATGTAGCATTATTACATATTTTTTCTGGAACAATATCTAATAACGTTATGGATGCATTAAATCCATTTACTTCCAAAATACTTGCTAGAAATAAAATGTTCCGGCATTTACAGAACGTAATTGCTGTTAAATTAAACAAAATATTTGCAACGGTATTAGAATTCATAATTTTATTTTCTCAACTAAAAACAAGGAGAGAAATTTTATTTGTATTCAACCAGAGTTCATAAGTAAGTTTCCGAATTTTTCTTTTTAAAAAATTACCAATTCCTGTAAAAATTTAATCACTATAATTAATTCGCTTAGCTTAATAAAAAGGTATTTTGTCAGAAAGATAAAGTTGAAGAAGCTTTTTTTTATTTTACTCCTTTTTTCTAGAAAAAAAATACAGAAAATTATGACAAAACATTTTTCTTTTGTAATTTGTATATCCTATTATATTTATCCATTTCACATCTGTTCCTGCAATGCAAGAGCATTTGATATTTCTTTAATGGAATCTTTTAAAAATAGTTCATTAATGAGAAGATAAAAAGTAATCCTAAAATTGACTTCAATTAAGTGAAACTAAATACGAAATGATGAAATCTGTTCTTACGACATAACTTGTTAAAAGGACCCAAACGAGGAAATCTTTACATCGGGTGTGGCTGTCAGCAAGGCGGAGTAATGCGAAAGGTTACATAATATGGATTAGTGGAAAGAATTTAGATTTTTTACGCTTATTAAAATAATTAAGCATGGTTTTCAAAAGCTATTGTAAGTTATTATCTGTTATTATATTATCCGAAAAAATGTAGCATATTTTGGGAATTATTTTCTTCCAGAAAATGGGATAAAACAAAATTCTAAAGAGAGCTTTTATTATTTAAAAATGGAACTTTAAAAATAAATTTTTTCAAATTGCAAATGGCGGATATGGTGAAACTTTTTAAAAAAAAAACGCAGAATCAGTATCACTTGCAAAGCTATTCATCTAATTAGAGTTTTGTATAAATATATTTTGGAACTTATATAGATCAATTTCGACTTCAGTTGGTTCCTCAGACCAAAATAGCTTCTATTTGCCATCAAAACCTTGCTCCTAACTTCAGTTTTAATATTTTATTTTATTTCATACTCTTCGTTGAATAACCGACCCAATTTTGGGTTTACGACATCTAATGTTCAACTCCGTAACCTTGTAATTTTGAATTCAATCCTGAAGACAAGGAACTCCTGGATCAAGTATTGGAAGAAATTTTGTCTTCATGGAGGACTTTTTGATGGAACTAACCTGCATTTTGCGTTACACGGTGAGAGAAATTACGAAAACTTTCCACGCTTAGACCGACGGCAAGGGGACTCTAACCAGAGATTCGTCAACCAAAGAGGATATTTCGTGATGAGGATCAAATCCTGAGGTGTTGCACGCCATGTTCTTAGGTGCATAAATTTTCCAAGCTCAAATCCTTGACAGCATTCTCAAGGGCAATAAACGTTTCGACAACAGACTGTTTTGTTCGTTCTACTATTTTATTATCTGTATAAGATAGTAATTGTTTCTGTAGAATGATGCCTTTCGTGTTAATCTCTTATATCTTTTTCAAGGGCTATGTTAAATAAATTGCATGGTAGTGAATCACCTAGTCTCTTTCTATAGAATATCTATGATAAATCTGATATGCTCCATACTTGACACTTCATAACGTCATTCTGACATAGTTGATAAGTTTGGACGGGATTGTTATCAGTAACGACGCACTTATTCAATCGTTTCCGGACTGTTATCAATACCTGACGCGAAATTGAATTTAAGGTTGCATTGTTCTGAAATGTTCATATAAATTAATACCTTTATTCAATTATGTTGCAACGTTTTGTGTATGTGAAAGGAAAACTGAAATTTCGTTCATTTTCTGACTAGGTCACGAACCTAAACATCAACTGGAACTTTAAGTTAGAGGGCAATAAGAGTTCTAATTGTTTTCTGACTACTGTAGGCAGAACATGCCACTTTTTCAGTAATGAATAGAATTTATTGGTCAATAATAATTTCGATGACTTTCTGACACATACACACACAAAAGTAAATAAATAAAAATTGATAGGCGTAAAAGGTGAATGAAGAAAACAAAAAAAACCGCTCCTTTAAAAACCATGTTTCTCAAGCGGAATAATAAGAAGAAAAAAAGAAAGAAAATAATTCTAATTTTGACTACCTTGAAAGAAAAACACTTTTTTCTTCTATCACCGGCTTATTATTGAAAAAAATTATACTATTAATTAAACAATCGGAGGTTTGATAATAATACATATAATAATTTGTTTAACACAAGCAGGAACTCAACTTCTGTTCATTAGTCATTTGCAAATAAATTCAAAGAGAAATCTCTTGTGACATAATTTTCATCTAAAAAAATAATTTTTCGTTGTTTCAATTCCTTTTTTCATGTTCAATTATTGAGATAGATAGAAGGTCGAATTTTTATTGTATTAAGGTCGATATATTAAAAGTCGCTATGCTTATTGTATATGTTTATTTTAAAAATAAATGAGTTTTCGATATATTTTACAATTTGGCTGTTAAGTAGGTTTTATTCATTGTACCAAATCATTGTACCAAGATATCCTTTTTAATTCTTTATAAGGCCATAGGAAGTATTCTCGCTAACTTAATTTTTTAATTTTGAGGGGAATTTATTTTCCTAGTGATGATTTGTGATGATCTGATAATGCTAGAAAATACAGAAAAATACCAATTGGAGGCTTTGCTTACATAAATGTAAGTCACAGTAAAGGTTAGCGTAGAATCAAGAACAGAGGCCAACACGTTATGCGTTTATTCATATAATCATTTCTGAACGAGCTTATTTGTAAAACGCATAATTTAAGCAAAGAATAACCATAGAATAACCATAGAATAATAATAATAAAAGCACAGAATTTATAAATTCGGATATTTATAGGCAAAGAATTCTTTACAGTAGGAAAAATTCTAAAAATTTCTAGACCAGTTTACTGTTTCAAACTTAATTCAATTAACAACTACCGTTCAAATTTGTAATGTGCTATAATTTACTAATTATTTGATATTTTTTAGACACAAATATTGTACGCAACATTTCTTTAGGCAATCAATTATTCCTGCTCATGTCAAAACTTTTCTCTCAGTGAGTTAAACCACTCTCGAGAAAGTCAGTTTGACCCACTCTTAAAAAATGATTAATATAAATATAGACTTATGTAAAAAACATTATACGCTATTAAAAATGTGACTCGGAGATTTTGTTTTTATAAAAGTAGAAAATTGCTTATGGGAAGAGTGGGAAAAATCTATCCTTAATCAAAAATTTAAAGCGCTATTTTTTAGAGGTTTCAAGTTTAAAAATATCTCGCAGGTGATTGGGTGAGTAATTTTTGTTTACTTATTAATGGTTTACAACGCAAAAACTTTTAAAAGAACTCATGCATTACCAAAGAGGCTGCTCATCTGCAAAACATATGCAAGACTTTGTCATTTTACTCAGATAGTTGACTGATTTGTGGAACATATTTTAGAATATAAAATAAAATTAAAAAAATAGGCATCGATTGAAATTAAAAGCAACATTTTTAAGTTTCAAGTGTACTGCTAACTTTTATCAAAATGTTAAAATTTAAATTCTTTTTTGAAATTCACTAAAATTATATGCCAAACTCAAATTTCAACACGAAAAGTTACATGTAAGCTAAAGTCAATATATAAGTTTTTTAGAAATGCTTGAATACTTAAAAACAAATTGCCTTATATTGTGAAATTTATGTAATTTATTTTGTAGACAAAGCTGAGTTCATTGAATGCGCAAAAAATAATATTTTTTTTCAAAAAGGATAATTTTAAACGTGTGCGATTCCCCATTTTTGAAAAACTATGTCCCGAATACCAGTAAGAAAAGTTTTACAGAAATGTCATAATACGAATGCTATTGTGTAGATAGCACTCATAAATAAGACAGCAGTATTTCAAATAAAATTTGTATACTTGAATAATTCCACAAAGAATGGAGGAATTTGAAACATCGCGTTTTGAAATGAGTTTATTTCGCTACTATAATTTTTTTTAATTA